AAGACACACAGCAGTAGCCTTCCACCTCTTGTTCTACTTGTTCAATTTGCACTATTTCGTCTATGGAATAGGTCTTCTCATCTATTGCGGTAATGTTCAGCACATTGGAGTGCACGCACGTGTACGTGCACACGCACGCACGCACGTGTACATGCACACGGACGCACGCACGCACGTGTACGTGCACACGCACACACGCACGCACGTGTACATGCACACGCACGCACACACACGCGTGTACATGCGCACGCACGCACGCACGTGTACGTGCACACGCACGAACGCACGCACGCACGTGTACGTGCACACGCACGCACGAACACACGTGTACATGCACACGCACGCACGAACGCACGCACGCACGTGTACGTGCACACGCACGCACGAACACACGTGTACATGCACACGCACGCACGCACGCACGCACGCACGTGTACGTGCACACGCACGCACACACTCATGCACGCACGTGTACATGCACACGCACGCACGCACGCACGCACGCACGCACGCACGTGTACCTGCACACACACGCACGCACGTGTACATGCACACGCACGCACGCACGCACGTGTACGTACACCCGCACGCACGCACGCACGTGTACGTGCACACGCACACACGCACGCACGCACGCACGTGTACATGCGCACGCACGTACGCACGCACGTGTACGTGCACACACACGCACGCACGCACGCTCGTGTACGTACGCACGCACGCACACGTGAACACGCAGGCACGCACGCACGCACGTGTACGTGCACAAGCACGCACGCATGAACGTGTACGTGCACACGCGAAGACTGTAGCATTACAACGACACAAATAACTACTACTCAATTTCAATAAGCTTTACATATTGGACTCACGGGAGATAATACACATGAAAAACATTATTATTATACGATGCTTATACATTGATTGGGGGGTTGATTTTATATTGACTAAACATGCGATTCATCGGTAACTCGAAGCGTCCAATCATGGCAGATATGATTACGGAAACGCGACAATTATAGGTGATCATAAAGTACATTAACTAGAAATAAGGTTGCTAATAGGTATATAAAGATTGCGATAAATCGATAAATTTTTTAATTCTAACACACAACTTGATTTTTAAGCAGTTTTTTTTATTTTTCTCAGTAAATATAAAACTTAAAGAAAAATCATGATGCTTTATTTTGGTACATATTGTGCTTAACCTGTGGCAAAAATTTTGCTTCCTTACTCGTTGTGGTAATTGAGAAATATCCAAAATGCCATTTTTACATAAAAAATCTAAATTTGTGTGGTAACATAATTATGTACTGGAAATTTTATGAATTTTTTTAGCTTGAGCATAGAGATATATCTCCTCTATAAATAAAACGTGTGATTGATTCGATTCATTCGTCAATAAACGTTTAATCTTCATTAGAGCAATACCCGTGCAAAAGGTGGAGAGTATCCTTAAGTAGTGAGTCTGGTAAATGATAAAGATCCGTGTTTAAAATAAAGCGTGATTGCTGAAACACTAACAAAGTGAATCAATCGGATGTTCAAGGACATAATGAATGTCATTGTATCGGTCTATGCAGAACGATTCAAACGTATAGTGCAAGAGATGTGTGTTCTATATGAGTTTTCTCTAATCTTCTCAGTTTTCTTCCCTTCTTTTCTATATGAGGTCTGTCTACTCTTCTCTATCTCTCCAATTCTTTTCTATATGCGTTCTCTCTAATCTTTTCTGTTCTCTTCCCTAATCACAAAAATATAAACCGCTTAATGACGAATGAAAAACTACTAATATTTTCCTACGAAAGTTTACTGTAATGTTGTTATACCTAATTGTATTTTGACAACAGCAATTAAAACAGCAAACTCATATCATGTCTAACACAAAAAATGCATGTTTATAGGCAGAGATGGCCGTATGACCATCCGCGCATCGTAAGTGGGACTCGTCGATCTTCAATAGCAATATTTTAGAACGAAGTATTGCTTGCAGCTCACAAGTTAGTTCAGTTTACACTCTAGGGCTTTCCGACCATATCTGTCTCACCCTGTCTCTTGTTCAGACTTTAGAAGTATATCAGTTGAATTATTTAGATCATGCAGGAATGTTTTTCAGTCTACGGCATCTCCACCAACTGCCGTTTTTACACCTCATTTGCAGTTTTACCATTTGCCGGTTATTGCATGCAACATTACAGCAGTCCGTTTGCTCACAGAAACGCGATTGTACCGGGCACGTCCAAACAGTTTTCAACCAATCGCATCCATGTCATTGTTGTGCAATGACGATTGCTATACTTATAATAAATACGTACTTTTGCGAAAGAAAATTGCCGCATTTTCGTGAGATTTTTCCCGACTACCTAACCAACATTAACACAGACCCTCAAGAAGCATATTCATAATAACATGGCGCAATTTCTATACAATGTATATTCAAAATATCTTGACAACATAAAATC